CCCCAAAACCCCAAAACCCCAAAACCCCAAAACCCCTTCTGAGAAACATTGTGTTGAACCCCACCAACAATATAAAAAGGTAAAAGGTAAGCAAAATTATTATTATTAAATATGCCTTTTGTAAAATCAATTAAGGGAAGATCCTACTTCGGTAGATACCAAACTAAGTTCAGAAGGAGAAGAGAAGCAAGAACTGACTACTATGCCAGAAGAAAGATGATAATGCAAGACAAGAACAAGTATGATAGCAAGAAATACAGATTCGTTGTTAGAAAGACCAACTCCAGATTCATCTGCCAGGTTGCATATGCCACTCCAAACGGAGATAGAATCATGGCTGAGGCTAAATCTACTGAATTGGTTAGATTCGGACTTACCGCTGGATTGACCAACTACGCCGCCGCTTACTGTACCGGACTCTTGTGCGCTAGAAGACTTCTCAAGACCTTGAAACTTGACGATCTCTATAAAGGCGTGGAAGAAGTTGACGGTAACGTATGGGATGTCTATGAACAAGACAAGGTTGATGAGAAGAGAAGACCATTCAAGGCTGTCTTGGATGTCGGAATCACCTCTACCACTACCGGAAACAAAGTATTCGGAGCCATGAAAGGTGCCTCTGACGGAGGAATCTACATTAAACACAACAATAAGAGATTCCCAGGATTCAAGATCAGAAAGCCAGAAGAGAAAGGTGAGAAGAGAACTGAAACCTTCGAAGCTGACGAGCACAGAGCCAAGATCTTCGGATTAAACATTGAAGAATACATGGACAAGCTCGAAGAAGAAGATAAGAAGAAGTACAAGCTCCAATTCTCCCAGTGGGACAAGTGTCTCGAAGCCAACAAATTGGACTCTCTTGAAGAGCTCTACAAGAAGGTTCATGAGCAAATCAGAGCCAACCCAGACAGAGAAGCTCTAAAGAAGACCGACCCAGTCAGAAAGAGCCTCGACGAAATCAAGAGCGTCTATGAGAACTCCCAAGGAAAGAAGTGGAAGATCGACAGAAAGCTCACTCTTGAACAAAGAAAGGAAAGAGTCCAGGAGAGAATTGCTGATGCCGTCAGAAGAACCCAGGAAGCCTCATAAATGTTCCTCCCTTAATAACCTCAACTCTAGTTTACTTCTTTAGATTCTAATGGTTTTCCAAAATATCTCATGTTTTATACAAAAATGGAGATATTACCCAATTTAATTTGTTAAAAATGGGGTTTTGGGGTTTTGGGGTTTTGGGGTTTTGGGG